AACAAACTAGATAGAGAAAAGAGCTTCAATCTGATCAAACAAACACAAACCTCCAGTGAGCTCCTATTACTTACTTGATGAAACACTGAGCACTTCCCCTACCATCAAGAACCAGGTAAGAATGAATGCCTTCAGTATTTCTAGTCTTTCAAAGAGGTCAAAGAAATAAAAGCACAGGTAGAAAATGAGGAATTAAAGTGTGTTTATTAACAGGCAACATGATTATTAAGGTATTAGTTTTCCCCCAGTTTGATGGAAAGATAACAATGTGTTCTCTATCAAAATCCCCATCAGATTTTTAGTAGATATTGGCAAATCAGTTACAGAATTTATATCAAAATTCAAAGTACCTAGAATAGCCAAAACAATCTTGAAAAGAAAGACAAAACTGATTGATTTACACTACCTGCTTTCATGCCACAGTAATCAAGACAGTGTAATATTGGCAAGGGAACAAAAGAGGTTCCAGAAAAAGACCCAAACTTAAATGGTCAATTAAGTCCCAACGTAAGGACTAAGGCAATTCAATGGGAAAGGAAAGTTTTGCAACAAATAATGGTGCAACAATCAGACAAACATACAGAGAAAAGTGAAACTCATACACACAACACATAAATATATTAGTAGAGAGAGACCATAAACCTAAACTACAAATAGCTAATACTACAAAGCTTCCAGAAGAAAACAGGCTAATATCTTTGCAACTCTGGGATAGGCAAAGATTTCTTGGGTCACAGAATTACCTGGTCTTCAACAAAGTAAAATTTTCTGCTCATGAAATACACCTTTAAGAAAATTAAAACATAAGCCATAGCCTCAGAGAAAATATTCACTATACATATAAACATCTATCTGTCTATAAACATCTACCTGTCTATCTAGGGGCACCTGGGTGGCTAAGTCAACTAAGCGTCTGACTCTTGGTTTCAGATCAGGTCACGATCTTGCGACTGTGGGATCAAGTCCCAGTCGGACTCTGTGCTCACTGGGGAGTCTGCTTCAGATTCTCTCTCCCTTTCCCTCTTGTGCTCTCTCTCAAATAAATAAATCAATCTTGAAAAAATTTATCTAGAATACAAAGAATAGATACAGATATATATATATTCTATGCAGAACATATACAGACAATATATATTCTCTATGTGGCGTATATAAACTATGTATAGCATACATGGACAAAGATTAAAAAGAACACTCATTTTTTTAAAAAGACTAAAAATGGACACAAGGAAGATCTAGAAGTGGAATCAGCACATGGAATGGTGCTCAATATCATTAGTTATCAAAGGAAGACACACTAAAACCATAATGACACACCAAGTCAAAGGACTACATGGAAACGACTTAACACTATCAAGTGATGGAGAATGGAGATTCTCGGGCAGGACTACGGGGAATATAAAATGATACAACCACTCTGGTTGTTTCTTATAGAATTAACTTCTACTCTCTCAGTAATTCCTTTTGTAGTTAATACCAAGGAAAACAAAAAGATACATCCATTAAAAGATATATAAAATAATCTTTATAGTTAAATTATTCATGACTTTTGGGGCGCCTGGGTGGCTCAGTTGGTTAAGCGACTGCCTTCGGCTCAGGTCATGATCCTGGAGTCCCTGGATCAAGTCCCGCATCGGGCTCCCTGCTCGGCAGGGGGTCTGCTTCTCCCTCTGACCCTCTTCCCTCTCGTGCTCTCTGTCTCTCATTCACTCTCTCTCTCTCTCAAATAAACAAATAAAATCTTTAAAAAAAAAATTATTCATGACTTTTAAAAATAAGGAAACCCAGGCGCCTGGGTGGCTCAGTCAGTTAAGCATCTGCCTTCAGCTCAGGTCATGATCTCAGGGTCCTGGGATTGAGCCCCACGTCAGGCTCCCTGCTCAGCGGGGAGTCTGCTTCTCCCTCTACCTCTGCTCCTGCTTGTGCTCTCTCTCTCAAATATCTTTTTAAAAAATATTTTATTTATTTATTTGCCAGAGAGAGAGAGAGAGAGCACAAGCAGGGAGAGCAGTAGGCAGGGGGAGAAGCAGGCTCTCCCCTGAGCAGGGAGCCCGACGTGGGACGGGATTCCAGGACCCTGGGATCATGACCTGAGAGCCAAAGGCAGACGCTTAACTGAATGAGTCAACTAGGTGTCCCATAAATAAAGATCTTTAATTAAAAAAAAAAAAAAAAAGGGACACCCAAATATCTATTATCAGGAGAATGAACACGAATGGTATGTCCCTAAAATGGAGTGAACTGCTGACACACACAACTACTTAGTAAGTCTCAAAAACATTATGTTGAACAAAAAAAGACACAGAGTAATAATTACATACTACATGATTAGGAAAGACTAGTATCAGGTGACAAATAAGAACACTTTCCACCTCTGAGAAGTCAGGACTGACGAGAAAGAAAGAGGGAACATTCTGGGATCACAGAACTGCTTCTGACCAGAGGAAGGGAAGTAACTTGAACAAACACTGAACCGTACACCTCAGATCTGTGCCTATCACTGACTGTAAATGGCACCACAATTTAGAAAGTAAGTATTTTCAATAGTGCACAGATTTCTTTACACTTCTCTCAGTACTCCTCCTCTACATGAAGAAAGTATCTAACGTAGGAAGCCTGTTTAAACCACGTGTGAAGACAACAAACACAACTGGCCCTGGGCATCTTTAATAATTACATCCTTCCCATCTGTGGCGAATACAGTGATTTCTTTGTTCTAACCAAGCAAGAGCATTAATTAAGAGGAGTCACCTCAAGTAGGCTTTCCAAATGAAATGAGTCCTTCGCTGCATCGTTTCGATGCTAATACGGACTCAGAGCTCCTAGAATGAGGTCGTCTGAAGAACCGCACCGTGTACCGTGCCTCCTTCCTCGGCTCTAAGTGCACCCCGGAGCCATGTCACCTCCAAAGACAGCTCTCTCTCCAGAAGATACTTGATAATGGAAGGCAAGATTACCATTTTTTAAAATAATAACCCACTTGTGCTTTTTTAACGAATACAGTTCAGAACTCAAAGTCTGAAATACCTAGATCTGTATGTCAGACCCAGAGGGCACTTCCAGAAGGCACCCAGGCAAGGGTAACACTGCTTTTCTTTGACTGCTTCACAAAAAAAAGAGTTTGTATCTCCAGAGTGCACTGGACCTTTTCTCATTCTAAAGTATCCTATAAACCCAATATTATCAAAGGGTAAAGAGACTATTACCTAAAATACTGAAAGAATAAATTAGACAAATACCGATGAAATTAATTTTCCAAACTCCAAATCCCACAAATAAGCAGGACATGGACTAGGATTCCCTGTCAGCTGTTCACCACTGGGACCGATCTCTGCAAGGCCCATCTGTACCTTCCCCTTCTCTCCTTTCGTGGCTTCTTCAGGGTTCTTTCTTGGATGTCTCCTGCCTGAATCAGCCTCTCACAGGTCTGACCTAGATGTGCTCCAGGCCCTGGAGCAGGCAGAGCACTACAGGATGCAACCTGCACGCAGCTCTGGTTTCCCCGAAGCTGGGGGCAGCAGCTGCTCGGGGCAGTGGTTTGTGACGCAGGCACAGAGCGGTCATGACGAGGGGAACCATCTCTAATTTAACATCTTCTTCAGCTCTGTCTTGGTTCCTTGTCCTGGTTCCTTCTACAACTGGAGAATCTGGGTAAAGAATTCTCTGAACTATTCTTCTATACTATTCTTCTATCTTTTCTCTAAGTTTCAAATTATTTCAAATAGTAAGAGACAGAAAGCACAAAAAGAAAAATCAAATTTAGCTTGTTAGGGAGGAGAAAGGATATGTCCTGGAAAGTGCGCACAGTGTACATGGTCACACACTCTGTCACAGCACTGTTAGGGAAAGTAAGAGTAAATGTTCTGTATACTGAGTTTCTAAAGCACTGGCATAAGTACCTAAAGCAGATGACCTAAGCCACTGAAATACCACTCTTCATGATCTTTTGGGAATAAAGAGGGGGAAAAGTTATTACGGAAAATAACTGAGAAAAGAAACATTAATAAGAAAAAACAGTTTTTAGGGGCGCCTGGGTGGCTCAGTTGGTTAAGCGTCTGCCTTCGGCTCAGGTCATGATCCCAGGGCCATGGGACTGAGCCCTGCATCGGGCTCCCTGCTCAGCGGGAAGCCTGCTTCTCCCTCTCCCTGCCACTCTGCCTACTTGTGCTCTCTCTCAGTCTGTCGAATAAGTAAAAAATCTTTAAAAAAAAAAAAAAAAAAGAAGAAAGGAAGGAAGGAAGGAGAAAGTTTTTAAACCAACAAATCCTAAAGCTATAGAATGATTTTATGGCTTACATGCTTGGCCCACCAGACAAGTTCTAAGGTTGGAAAACTGAATTTATTAAGCCCTGTGCCTCGTACCACCTCCACTCATCCAAACGACACCTATTTTGCAGACCAGCCCACAGGTCACCTCTTCCACAAAGCCTCAATGCCTTCCCGCCCACTGTCCCTAATGGGCTCTGAGACCCACTCCCAACCAGAGGGCCCCTCCATGAGCTCCTGAAGCAGAGGTCGGAGCCTCTGCTGGCAAGCCTCACTTCCAGGCTTATGTCACAGGGGGCCAAGCTTCTCAACCATCCTCCTTTCTTTTAACACCTAAGACAGCATCTAAATACAGGAACCTGGAAGTATTTTTGTAATAATGGTCATAACTAACGAATAGTAACTAATTTAAAATGATTACAGCACTCCTTTCAAAGCACTAACACGTACATCACATTTTTTAAAGATTTCTACCCACGCCCCCATAAAACCCTGAAGACATTCTAACACTTAAAGGGCAAACAGCCATGTGGAAATCACAGCTCACCAGAACTCACTGCCCAAAGACTCTAGAAAGCTCAGGCTTTTTACTGCACTCATAGTACAAAGAAGAGATGTTATCAACTTTTCACTAGTGCTAAAAAAAAAAAAAAAAAAAAAAAATGCTCATTTTAAATCTGGAAGAAAAAAAAACCCACGAAATTTTGGACTCTTTTTAAAAGACGAACAAATACCTCTTCAGTTTCAGGAGCAACCTGGGGGTCAGTAATCTCATCTAATTCATCTTCAGCAACACAGTCTTCCTGCTCTTGCAGCACTTGTTGCCCACAAGCCTGCAAGTATTCTTCATCCTAACAGCCATTAAAGAGAAAATAAGTCTTCCTCATATAGCTTTGGGTTTTTGAAAGCACTTTTCATCTTCACGACTCATGCTTCATTATTTTAGCAAATTTGACTACGGCAATTACCCGACGAAGCAGAAAGCACGAAGCACGCGCATCAAATGTGGCCTCCCCTATGTTAATGAGGACAGAGTGCAGTATGCTGGCCCCATCGCTAAGGTTAGTGACACAGCTCTGCTTTAGCCCCCAAGCGCCCTGATAAATAGCTCTTCTTACAATCAGCACTAAGGGAAAGCAATCTTCAAAAGAATGTGCATGTGCTCGCATAGTGCAGCTCAGCAGCAGGAAGGGAGCTGAAATCACACCCAACGTGCACCATTTTTACAGCAGTAAAAGGCAACAAAAGTATAAGCCATTCAGTTCAACACAGGAGCTTTATTAAAAATCACGTTAGAATTTGCTTCTCCATCAGCCCATCCCTTGAATTAGAGGGGTGATTCCAGGTTTGTATGAAATGTAAGGGGCATGTCAGCAGGCAGACATCCCTTGAAGGGCATATGGGAGGAAGCAGACAAGCTGGCTAGAAACAACTTCAAGAGAAGGAAGGGCTCCTACAGATACTACTATCAAGTAACAAGAACATCGGGTCCTATGCGGAGGAGCTGAGCTTGCCAGCAAGCCCGCTCACGGGCTGGAATGAACAGTGGTTGGTTACAAGACAAACACCAAGAGTGAGCACGAACACACCTGAGCAAACTACTGTGGGGGACACAGAAGCCACACCTACAACCCCCAAAGAAACCAGCTGTATTCAAGGTGACAAACTATCGTAGGTCCCACAAATGTCTCTCAAGGCTATGTGAACACACTGTATCTCACTCTCCAGAAGAAACCATCCCATCAAAAAGAGAAACTATCACTACCCACAATTCACTGACAGCAGAACTGCCGGATTTCATATAAGGCCAGACGATGCTAATCAAAATTTTCAGCTAATATACAATGGAGAATAGTCTATGCCACTGGATCCTCCCAAGAAACAAAAATCTGCTACCCTTCACATAAGTTACCCATCTGAAATTGTTTTTACAGAACAATCTTTTACGAAATCTCAATCTACGGTAATTTTTAAAACCCCAAAAAGATTGTGCTTAAAAGTATACATCACCCAACGATTTTCTCATATTTTGTCAAATAATAAGGGATCATCTCTTAATACAAAAGTACAAGTTTTTTAATCAAATCCCAATTCACTCTCAAGAACAGGGCTGGCGAAATTCACAAAACCCAAGGAAGGTCTTACTTTTGAGTATAAGAGGAAAGAACATGGAGTTCTACTACCAACTTCTAAATGTGGACCTCAGCTTCTTCATATGCAGAAGTGTCCCTTCCAATTGTAAAATTCAGTGGCTTTATGACTCCATTCTTAGTTATATGCAAAATCCATCCATGGGATTTTAATAGTGAGCCCCAACTGACAGAATGTGCTCACGCTCAGCATGTCACCCAGCTGGATTCTAGCTTTAGAGGACAAGTTAACAATTCCCAACTAGGACATGAAACACAGTGAAATGAAACATCTGATAAACTAAAATGCCACTGGGACACACAGGCACGCAATCTACTGGTTCGCTTGGTCGGCTACTCATTAATAATTCCCTCATGGTGCACCAGGGGCAGCCTGAGAAGGCAGGGAACCTCCCCAGCTCCGGAGCTGGAGCCCGGTGCCAGATGAAGGCCAGCTCTCTCCTCCGTCCAAAGAAAAGGTAATGGCACACTCCACCACCGTGCTAACTACGAAGAAACCAACAATCCGAAAGAAACAGGGAAGAGAGAAAAGAGTGGCCATAGCTATGAAGCTAAATGTGCTGAGGTGAGCGGACACGGCTCACAGGACACTCGCCTCGCCCTTCAAGTTTACAGCTCCCTGTGAAAATATCAGGTCACTTTCAGAAATTCTAAGAAAAACTGTTTTAAGACTTTTTTTTAATTCTGAAAAAAAAATTCATTCTGATGTGGAAAATACTGTAAGTATACTAACTGCCACATTGTTTTTCTTTTTGATACCGGACTCTGAGACCACAAAATGTCGGATAACTAAGTTGGATTTTATACAAGCGGGAGCCTAAATGTAACCTCTAGTTTGACAACGGAACACAAGAGAGGGAAAGTCCCAACTTAGGAGAATTCTCTCCTCAACAAACTCCGCCAGAAGGCCACAGTGAGAAAACACGTCCTATGTGGCACCCTAGTGCTGTCAAGCAAGCACTTTCCACACTTAATCTGTTCCACCATAGAAGGCAGGGGCCATGCCTCATGTCTCATGTTTTAGCAAAACTGGTGCCCCTGGTGCCCAGACATCAGTAAAGATGTGCCGAACTGATGAACTTACAAGGGAAATAGACCCACATACGATTAACCAATCATCTTCTTTTACCCATCAATGAACGAGAGAAATAATAAAATGCTCTAACCAGGGAATAACTAGGTACATTTTTAAAAGATCTTGGCTTAATCTTTAAGAAACATTTTAAATTTATAATATCCCACTTTCAGATAGTATACAAACACACCAGTAAACCAGAAGAGAACCCGTCCACACCAGTGAAGGATTTACTACCAAAACAAATCATTACCATTATCAAATGAACAAGTAGCCATGATGTCTTTTACATGATTCTACTTACCAAAACGACACATATTTTTTCATTACTATATCTACTAAAGAGAAAACATTCAAAACGAATCAAATCTTAAAAATAACTACTGAGATAAACACAATTATGATTAGAACTAAATATTCTAAGGTTCCTCATAAACGATCCCTTTCAAAATTACTCCCATTTATATGTACGTATGACCAATGACCAAAATTCAGACTTTGAATTTTTTTCTCAAAAGCAAGCTTCCTCTGAATAAAAACATTAAGAGATTAAAGGCAAAGCTAAGAGCCCCAACTCTGCACGCCTCCAACCAGCCCCGGCGGGCCAGCTGACAATGCACCTCAGTGGAGCGATAGTATCATGAAAACCCTAAGATTCTATGGACGAATATCGCGTCCTTCCCACACAAATTTCATTAAGTGCTTATTTTAAAAACAAGTATCTTCTAATGATGAATCAGAAAGACAGATGAGCAATCTTTCACTAGTACCTTTTGCTTTCTTGACAGTTCAACTTTAAAAATAGCTACCTATCAAAACCATCTTTCTGAAACAGAAATCAGCACAATCTTTGCTTCCTGATTACAGATAACAAATTATGTGTGACATTTCCAAAACTAACCTCCAATCTCTTTATTCATGTTTAGACAGTTCTCAGTTACAAAAAAGGATGAATGAACAGGACATCAATCACTCTGGAATATTAGCACCTTAAAGATGTCTTTAGCAGGTCAATAATCTTTTCACCTTGGAAGGACTTTATCAGATCTTGTCTAAAGCCTGGATAAAAGCTCTGCATTAAGTACTTCTAACAATTGACAGTGTATCTCCACCACACAAAGCTGTTTTCTTCCTTAAGGTGCAATCCTCAAGGTCACGATTCTGTGCAGCCTTCCAGAATGACAAAGGGGCATTACCTCCAGCCAAACAAGCTGTCAACACAAACTTTGTCATAGCTCAGATAAAGAAACTGGCAGACAGTGATAATAAGGTCTAATTTCCCCCCCTCCCGAGGGAGGGAAATAGATTTCAAATCAGTCTAGAAACCTATGCCCAGGCAGCCATGTTATCTTCGGCCATACAAAGGAAAAGACTCACTGTGAATTCATCTAAAGGCTCATTGATCTCGATGTCTAACACTTCATCATTGTACAGCTGCTCCTCCTCGGGCTCCTCCACATACTCCATGTGGTCCTCTGTCAGCTCAGCATCGTGGCCTTCATACTGTCCTTCTTCCGGGTACTCGTGAGCATACAATTCAGAGCCGTCGGATTTGTGATAAACAAGTTCATCCTCTCCTTGTTCATACTCAGATTCCTGTTCTCCGGATTGCTCATTAGTGTTGTCAGACAGTTCAAATGACGTGACCATGCCAGATGTGGTATTTAAACTAATTGTGACACCCTGAGAACTAAAGAGAATAAAAATACAAAGAAAGGTGCCCAATGAGAATCAAGCCCGAGATTAAACCACTACCTAAATAACTGTTACAAAGACGTAGACCATGACTGGTGAAAAGTTGTTCCAATGACTGATAAATGCACATTACTCCATTTCAGGTGACTGAGAGCAGAGCTCAGCGTGCCATACTGAGCCTGCACCCCATGCTCCTAACGCACACAGCACCTGTACTATCATCAGATGCAGGTTATTTGCCCAAAAGAATCAGATCAACCAGATGGGGAAACAAGTTTGACTGGCAAAACTCCAGGACTGAAAACAAATATACTATATTTCATTCTAACTTCCAGAACGAAAAGGGTGGTATCTGTTTTCCAAGATTCCAAAATAAAAACAGTATTACTCTATAAACAGAAAATCAGAGACCGCATTTTAGAACAATCTGTTCTTTTTAAATCTATGATGCAAATTATAAACTCCTATTTAAAAAAAATCAAAATATTAAAAATGTGTGTGAAAAGACATTTCAATATTCAAATAAATAAAATTTGTCCTAATCACCAATTTCAAAAAAATTAGTTTATAATTTCTGAGTAAAATACCAAAGAGGGTTTTAAAACCGCAAAAAAAAAAAAAAAAAATTCTTTTTTTATTCCACCCACTGAATCACAACAGCTACACACCAAACAGTAAACTGCAAGATAACAACACTTACAGTGCAAGATTTTGCAGAAAAATCTAAGTGCGCACATATCAATTAGGTTATCTAATCCTAACAAGAAACCTGAATACACCACACAGATTTGAAGACATTACTTGGCTAAAAACTCCAAATTGCCTTATTTTGAGGGCAAACTCAACTCAAAAGATCAAAATATAATAATGATGTCAAAGAATGGAACTGGGAAACTTAAATAACCTAGAGAAAAAACTAACTTAAAACCGTATTTCTATCCATAAAAATTACTTTAAGTTAGAACACCTGTTCAATAATAGATGGCTTATATTTATTAACCTCATTTATAACCGAGAGAGGTCTCTTTGAATTTTCACTTTAGGTTTCCTCATAACATTGAAAAAATTACTCCACCTACCAGAGTGTACTAAATACCTCTTCCTCTTATAATGGAGCTTACTAGTCAACAACAAAAAGACATTCATGATTGCTGCAGACTGGATATTTGTGTCCCCCAAAAGTCATCCTGTTGAATCCGTAACACACCCAGTGTGATGGTGCCCAGAGGTGGGACCTTTGGGAAATGACTGTAAAGGTCAGAATGCTGGAGTCCCATTGATGTAAATTAGTGCCTTTACAGAGAGGGCCCCAGGGAGCTCCCTCACCTTTCAACCCCGTGAAGACATAGCAAGAGGGCGCCATCTGTGAACTAGAAAGTAGAAACTGACCATGCTGATGCCTTAACCTTGGACTTCCTAGCCCCTAGAACTGTGACAAATAAATTTCTGTTATGAACTACCCAGTTCATAATGTTTTGTTAAGACAGACGAAAAAGACTAAAGTAACTATGTTCACTAAACAATTACATTCAGATAGTCAACTCGAGTCTAAAGTACAGTCCAGGGGCGCCTGGGTGGCTCAGTCGGTTAAGCATCTGCGTTCGGCTCAGGTCATGATCTCAAGGGTGCTGGGCTCAAGCCCCACGTAGGGCTCCCTGCTCAGCAGGGAGTCTGCTTCTCCTTCTGCCTCTTCACCCCCACTCCTCAGCCTCACTTTCTCTCTCAAATAAATAAAATCTTAAAAACATAAAAATAAAGTACAGTCCTAAGGAATTTCCAAAATGGCAATTCACTAAACCGATTACATATAAATAAAAAGTCTAAAGTAAAAACAAAAGCAGCAACATCAAACTGCAGCCAACAGTAATAAGAGCCTAAGGCCACTGCCCCCATCCAAATAAAGGAATTCTTCAAAAGAGCAGTACATACCTTTACTGAGTTTTCATAACCTGCATTCAACAGAACTTACAGAGGTCATTAAATGCAAGACCAATACCTATTTATACAAAAATATATATGGCTTCCCCATAAGAGAGGCTGTATTAACATCCTGTTTAAAATAAAATCATGTTGAAGATATATCACATTATCAATTGTATGCCATTATAATTATAAATTAGTTACTAACAATTTAAAGAAAATTTTTAATGAGCTAATAATGAATACCTGAAATTTTCTTCATCCTCATTATCACTCTGTAAAAGATCATCATTCAGCTCTTCATCTGACAAATCCGACTGATTCTAATTAAAATAAGAAATCTAATTAATGCATGCCACTTCCACAAAGACTTGTTACAAATGTGCAAAATTATGTTGACTGTATTTATTTCTAACCTTGTTATTAAAGCATGTGCCATTCAGTAAGCTATCTCACTTTGATATGAGCAGTTGACAATTGAGAAATTCCACATATGGTATACTTGTGACCCCAGACAAATTTTCAGATGCAGAGTCAAGTAATAAGTATAGAAACAGGCTTAATGATCACATTTATTCTAAATCTAACAAAAAAGGAAAAAGGAAGAGTCCTTTAGCAGTATCCTACAAACATTTTTCCCTATCATACACAAAAAAAAGAATGGTATCCTTAAGATTTGACTAAATTTGATTTCACTCATATGTGGAATTTAAGAAACAGAGTAAGAAAAATGAAAAAAATAAGAGGCAAATCAAGAAACAGACTCTTCACTCTAGAGAACAAACTGACACTTACCGGAGGGGGAGAGGGTGGGGGATGGGTGAGATGGGTGATGGGGGTTAAGGAGGGCACTTCTTGTGATGAGCACTGGGTGGTGTAAGGAAGTGATGAATCACTACATTGTACACCTGAAACTAACATTACACCACATGTTAACTAACAGGAATTAAAATAAAAACTTAAAAAAAAAAAGATTTGACTAATTTTAACACTGTTAGTATCCAAAATCTGAAGACTTTTTAAACAAAAGAAGTAGAATTTTCTAAATAAGCAGATTTTAGTGGCGCCCAGGTGGCTCAGTCCATCAAGCATCTGCCTCCGGCTCAGGTCATGATCCGAGGGTCCTTGGGATCGAGCCCCACATCAGGTGCCCTGCCCAGTGGGGAGCCTGCTTCTCCCTCTGCCCTCTGCGCCTCCTTCCCGCTCGTGCTATCTTGTGGTGCTCTCTCTCTCTCAAATAAATAGACAAAATCTTTAAAAAAAAAAAAGGAAGAATATTTTAGATAAGTGGATTGCCAAATTGAAATGGTAAGGGACTAAAACAAAACTTGAGTCTATTAATAGAGATGACACATGAAAATAAACATGCCTAGCTCAGGCCCTCACCCCTGCTCTCGACAGGCCTGTGCATTCATCGCACCAGGAGGCAGAGGAAGCCTAGTGATTTTGTCAACTGCTCAACTTTCCACAGTTCCAAGTTTTGTTAAATATATACCAGTATTGCACACTTACATGGGGGGGGGCCTTCACATTTTCCTCCCCTATTCAAATTTCTTTCATGGTATACAAAAATTACCACACCCCCTCCAAAAGAGGCCCCTTGTACACACACATATTAGGAAAAATTAAAGATAGAAAAAGGAAAAAGAGAAAGACTTGATTTTCTACTTAAAAATGAAACAAACAAGCAGTCTTTTCCTGGCATTTTATAGCTTATAAAAATAGGTTTCTCAAACTTATCTATTCATTCTTCATTATAGTATTTTTGATACAAGCCAAAAAATATGAACCTTATTAGTTCTTACTGGTCTCAAGGGTCTCTACTTAACAGCTGACAGTGTAAGATAAAAATAAAATAACATGGGGTGCCTGGGTGACTCAGCCAGTTAAGCATCCGAATCTTGATCTCAGCTCAGGTCTTGATCTGAGTTCAAGCCCCAAAACTAATAATAATAATAACATAACACAACACAGACCATGTAGTTTTCTTGAAGAAGGGAGAACAGATCTGTATGAAAAAGAAACAGACCTCTTAATAGGGCCAAAATAAAGTTTTGCTTAGTTGCCCACATAATCTGTCCTCTACCAGAGGAGATGAGCCAGGCCTGCCTAAATTTAGCTGTCCAATTTATTAAATAAAACCACAGGAAATCTTTAAAAATTAACAATTCAAAGAAAGCCAAATTTCAAGAGAGGCTGCTTGAGTTTTTTAGTTAAATTTTTAAATACCTGTCAAAAATTAGTGAGCAAATAAATAAATCACCAAACAGAAAGGAATGTATGTTGTGGTGGGCCCTGATGGTAATCAGATCCTACTTCTGCATTCTAAAGATTCAACTTCCCGTATGGATTCTGAATGTGATGAGTAATATACACAGGAGGCAACCGATCAAGATACCCACTTAGCTGATAAAGCAGAGAGGGAGAGCTAGACTCAATCTGAGACAAAAACTGATTTTCAACCAACATCAGAAAGAACTGAAGTGAACGGTTTCCTCAGGCAAGGGTGGAGTCACTAGGGAGGATTCTGTTCTGGGTGGTCTGCAGGAAAGTAGAGCAAGCACAACCCCAGAGAGGAAGAGAAAGTAGCAATGAATGCTAGCAAAATCCTTTCTCCCAACCTTACCAGAGGGAGAGGTCATTCCTCTCCTGGGGAGAGAGACGAGTATGAAAGAAAAAGAATGCTTCTCCGGGACTCCCCAGAAGATGGACCATCTATTAGAACATCTGGAACTGGCATAGCACAGAGCACCTGTCCGGCACTCGCTGCTGCAGAAGTCAAACAGAGAAACTGAAGAGGGGGTCACGTGCTGGCAGGCAACCAGCCCCTCAGGCTTCCCCCAATTTTTCAAGGCTCTGGCTGGGTCATGCCAGCATGCTTCATCTTGAGTTTGCAACCTCTCATTTTTAACCTATATTTAAAAATTTCATCCTAACAACCTCCCTTCTTGACCCCGACGGCCGTGTCCTTGATTGCCCCTGTTGGTCTGATGATGTCACTATACTCAGTGCGTGGTTGTGCGGCCCTCTGGCCCACCAGCCCAGGAGCCTCTCTCCAGACAAAGCTACAGCTCCATACATTTCGTGGGACACAAGTGGGGGAAAGACAGTGGGCAGGCAAGAGTACCCGTTAAGAATAAACTAGCTAGTAAATACCCGACAAAATATTCAATCTCACTAGAAACCAAATAAATACAAGGTAAACTAACCAAAAATTATTTTTCATCTATCTCACTGACAAAGATTTTTAAAAGAGGAGTGGTCTCAAACCTGGGGGACTGGGAAGGTGAAAGACTTGTTCATACACCTGCTGCTCAACTGATAAAATACTGCGGGAAAGCAACTGGACAACAGGAGACAAGAGTCTTAAATGTTTACACCCTTAGGCCAGAAGTTCTCCTTCATGTAAATTTGCTAAAAAAGAATTTCAAAAGCATAATAACATTAGTACATTAAAACAGCATCATAATGTCTGAGATTCACTTCAAAATAATTCAGGAAGAGGAGTGAGTGGGCAGAGATAAGGCAAAACTGCCTTTAACTGAAAGCTGCTGAAGCAGAGTGACAAACGCGTAAGGGTGACAGTCACTCTGCTCTCTTCTTTTATATATGCTTAAAATTTTCCATAAAAAGTTCTTTAAAAAAAAAAAAAAGTTATAGCACAGGGACCTGGATGGCTCAGCTCAGGCAGTTAAGGGTCTGATTCTTGATCTCAGCTCAGGTCCTGATCTCAGGGACATGAGTTCAAGCCCCTCATCAGGCTCCACGCTGGGCATGGAGCCTACTTTAAAAGAAAATTTTTTTTTAATAAAAAAATAAAAATAAGTCACAGCAATGAGCTGGATACAACCTCAGTGAATATAGGAATGGCTAGGTATACTATAATTACACAAACTGAAATATTATGTAGCCATTATAGAATATCTTAAGAAACATTTCATGAGGGGCGCCTAGATGGCTCACTCCGTTAAGCGTCTGCCTTCCGCTCAGGTCATGATCCCAGGGTCCGGGGATCGAGCCCCGCGTCGGGCTCCCTGCTCGGCGGGGAGTCTGCTGCTCCCTCGGACCCTCCCCCCTCTCATGCTCTCTCTCTCTCTCTCATTCTCTCTCTCAAATAAGTAAATAAAAAAAAATTTTAAAAAAGATAAATAAAAATAAAACATGAAAAAAAGAATATAAGGATATATGCCGAAATGTCAGTCATGAGGGCTTAGACCTGTTTTTTTTCATTATTTCTCTTTTGATATATCTGAGCTCTTTGATTCCTACAAGGTGTAGCGTTAGGAAAGAAGAGAAGAGGAAAGGAGAGGGGGGTACACACTGCTCCCAAGCAGACAGACCTCCCAGCGGCCAAGGTGGGCGAGGGCCCTGCCGCCAAGACGAGGCAGCAGGCTGCCGCCCTCACGCGCTCCTGTCCCAGGGCAAATGAGGCCAAGTCCCACCAGTCAACTAGTCCAATAAGAGAAAGTGACACTACTTCCCCAGAACAGTCAGCACTACTATCCAAACCAAACTGCTTTTCCACCTTTATGGGTAAGAGACCTGACCAGAGCTTTCACGGGACGGGGACAAATGTCCACCAAGAGGAATTACTAGCACTGCTGGAACATCCTGACAGAGACACAGGGCAAACTACGCTGCCCCGGGCCTGCCCGAGGATAGAAATCCAACTTACATAAAAAATATCCCACTACACTTAAACATTTTAACATCTAATTGGTATTCTTCACTAAAGCATCTTAAATAATTCCAAAGGAAAAAAACGCAGAGTAGTGAACTCCCAGGTACAGTGAGAGCAGCTCAAGGATGTGCAAAGTAATTATCACTGAGCCACAAAGAAACCAGTACCACCTTCCCCCCGTGACCATGACACACACAGGAAAGACTAGCCTTGCACCCCGAATCACATGACACATGCAGGGCACCCTGAAGCCAGAGAGGGAGCCCCTCAAACAAGGACAGGCTGAGGGGCCATCTCACAGGTTTTTCACTTTCAGTATTTTGCTGTTTCCCCATGTACTTACATGAGATCAAGTGGATCTACAGGGAACTAAATTAATTCTTACTGAGAGTTACAGGTGATGAGAGCCACTTAAAGGAGGAAAGGCTGAGGCAGGCTGAAGCCAGGCCACCTGAGGGCCAGTGATGCAGTAAGAAACAAGACAGAGAAAGTGGCTTCAAAAGAATCCTATAGCAAATTCATGTATTAGCAAAAAAGCTAATAATGCAACAGAGTCAGTTATAAGAAAATGGCAACACTGGTACTTCTCCCACTACAAGATCTTCATTAGCTTTATTATAAATGATATTAAAAGGAAAATATAATCAGGTCTAATAAATCAGACAAATGATGTGACCTTATCACCTGAAAGTATAATGAGCTTATGTACAATAACTGTGGACGGTAAGAAGCCACCACAATCTTAAGACTTTAAAAAACTAAGCATAAAAAAACTACCTTGATATTTAGTAAGAACAGCAAGTGTTTTTAAACTGTTAATAAATTAAAATAAAAATTCACTATTTCACTTTAATCTGTGGATTTGTATTTCTATTTTTAATGTATGTTTTGTAATGTTATTGGTAGAGTAATATAAACATACACATACATTATATATAGATATACACAAATCAGAGTTAACTACTGCAAAGTTTTGTTTCATCAAAAAGGTTTAGAGAAACCTACATTAGGTTTGAGGCTAGCACCCTCACTTACCTGAACACGCGCTGCATTTGAGAATAGCTATCCCTGAGCTTATCTCCAGACTTTCAAAAAGGGAAGACAAACCATCAGCCTCCAAATGTTAGTTTTGTGAGTGAGTGGTGGTTTTATGTTACTGCTTTCACAAACTCAACACCTGCTGGAGTGCATCGGTCTGAGTGAGAACTAAAATATCTGCATCAAAGGACTGATCACTTGAGGTAGAAGCTACTGGAGAACTTACTAACAGACTAAACAGTCAGCTCTCTGTGCAGTTAGAAGATAATTCAATTCACAACATTGTAATCTGCACCCAAACTTCCAGTACCACATCCCATTCATGAGATATATTCCTGTATGTTCAGTACAATGAAGCAGCTGGAGGGTGGGTTCAGGAAGACCTCAATTTCTTACCTTTTTGCCAGACAGCAAATCTTCTCCAAGTAAGTCATCTTCAAGTTCACTGGGGATAAAGAAAAATAGGCATGCCAATGCATTATTCCTACAACACTGGAAAGTCTGCAGATCACTGGGAAATCTCCCCCAGACTTCAGGGTTTGGGTATTTTCCTGTTTAGTTTGCTATGCTTCCCTTTTTCTTTATTAATAATGAGAATGTAGTCAAATATATAAGGAATGTGTGGTCTTTTAAGTGTGGGAGGCTCTGCGAGAGGAGGTGGCTCTCACTAGACTTCTGATCTCAGTTTTCCACCTCAATGTGAGATCTTTATTTCTTTGGACCTGTTCAGTAATCATTAAAAGAAGAAACTACAGTAGGTAACATCTATGCTTTCTCCTGCCTTGAAAAACCTATCATGAAATAGGAAAACATGTCCAACATCATTAACTAGGAAAGTTAAAACCAAAACCACTGAGAGACCATTTGACACTCATCAAACTGCAAAACTTGAAAAGATGAAAAACACAAGGCTGATGAGAGCATACAAGTAAATCATCGTGACTAAGAGAATTATCTTTGTAAAAGATGGAAGTCCTGTCAGTCTGAAATTTTTTTTGTCAGCATGCTTATGTTCTGAAGTGATCAGGAGCAGATTATGTCACAATTAAATTCAAAACCTTTACCAGATCAAAAAGCTAAAGAAATTTCCCGCTGTGTGTGTGTGTGTGTGTGTGTGTATATATTTTTTTTTGGTTGATGAAGATGGCTACCACTGAATTATATTCTTAGCTCTGGGGAACCCAATGTCTTAAGAACAAATGTCTTTTAAGGACAACATCTAGAAGAAGAAAATAATCAGATTATGCTTCCAGGTGCAAATGCACCAATATTCTTATTAGGGCTGTTCCTCTATTTATAAGCACGCTGGTTACAAATTTCTGTCGGTTTTGGACACAACTTTATCCAAAAACCATGTCTACTTGTAGTGTGCTACCTTGCGGAACTCCAGAATATACAGGAATGCCTACTGGAGTTAAAACAGAAATGCCTGTTTCTATACAGCACCTTTTAGAACTAGAAATAATTCGACAAATCTTTTCATTCACGCACTGAACACCTTTTTGTTACCTTGTTACCCCGTATAAACCCTATACCCTCATTTTATAGATAAGAAAACAAGGACAGGGGACCAAAGAATGGGCCCCAGTCACACAGCGTGGGCAGACCCAGGACAGGGGTTACCATGGGGCAAATCCGCCACAGACCCGTACAGTAAGACAGCTGGCTGTCAGAGACTAACAGGTAACTTCTCCCAATATTTCCACAAATCACCTACGCAGCTTTCAAGGTACAATGTCTGCATCTTCAGTGTCAAAACCATCCTCTCTGGGTGAGGAAAAAAGGATCTAGTCACCACACTGACAAGAACTCCATCCGAGAACTGATTCTACATGACCAAAACAGACACCTGCCCTGGAAGACAAGCACCCACGCTAGGCCATCACTCTGAATAACTGAAAATGAAAGGCACCACCACCTGCTCAGGGGATACTGAGAACTTTTTTTTTTTTTT